TAGAGATAGCAATACATTGCATAGGAAAAAAATTATTAGCATAATTAGTAAAAATAAGGAATTCGAACATCAAAATGTAAGGGTAAATATTGCAAAGGGAACACCTGTTCTGGTTACAATTGTCTAAAAGAGGAATACCCCTCACTTTTTAAATTTTTATCTCACTGACAGCAAAACAATAAACCGACAGTCATAACCTTTCCTATTCTATCGAAAATGAAAAATAAATGGTTTTTGGCTTTATACACACACTTGAGGCTGTGTTTACAAGGACCATGATACAATCTAGCAGGAATAATATTGATATAACCTTGTACTTGCTTGAATTTTCTTTTGTACCAAATAGAAGACAAGGTCTCCTCTTTAGCTTCACATTTTCGGCTCATTGCTCTTTTGATTATATCAAATTACAAGAGAGCACTTGTAGCTTAAAATGTAATAGGAACCTCAACAAGTTTATTTGCAACATTACACCAATATATACAATTTGGAGGCATACTATTAAGAACACCAAATCTCTCATGGTTACACCGATGTCTACCCCTTCCTACACTTCTTGACTACCTATTGGCCAGTGATGCTGCTTATCACACTGTCTAGCCAACAGTAAGCTGTTGAGAACATGAAGGGTGGGCCAAGGTGCAACCAGTGATGCCCGATATCAGTTTGCTTAATTGAGGGCACTGGAAATAAACAAACGCCGAGACCCTACAAGCCCAAGAGGGGGGCTGGTCACACCCATAAGGGAACAGAGTGTTGACGCACCCATGCTCCGATTTTCAAAAAGTCAGTAGTCATAGTGTAGGAGTCATAGTTTAGGAGGCTCTTATAGGTGATAAGAGAAGAATGCATTGAATATAGTGTGCTTGTGCTTTGACCACTTACTGTCCAGCTGTTGTAATTAAACAGCCAGACAGCTCCTTCTTGGATGCGGGGGCCGTTTTTTAAATGTCCTTTCCGGCGCATCTTCCCCCACACACAAGCGGGAAAGTGCAAACATTTTAAGCAGCTAGTGACGGCCGTTACATACAAACTTCTGGGCTGCTATAGAGCCCCCCGATCCCATTACCCAATTTCCCATTACTTTCTGTCTTGGGGAAAGTGGTCAAAAGGATGAAGAGACAGCGAATCTCCCCAGCATGAAACAGACTGCAATTAAAACTTGACAGATGGTCTAAACCTTCCCAAAAACTAAAGAAAGAAAAATGCCCTTACATACACTTTAAATCTACCTGA